GCCCGTCTACTGACAGGACTATTTACCCACGGATATCAAACGGAGCCCATTCTTCACAGAGGAAATTTGCAGCAGTTCGCAGCAGCAAGGGAGTCTATTACGTAAAAGCCGGGACCGACCGCATCTGGGTACCAGGGTACACACTGCTACGGGAAATTACTATTACAAGAGGCACACGACGGGTTGTACCTCGGGACATTTCGGGGTAGAGAAAACACGCAAGCAGCTGCATCGGTATTATTACTGGCCCGAAATGGTTGACCGACGTGCAGCGACACGTGGCATCGTGTCCCACTTGCCAGACCATGAGTCAACACGAGCGGCCGGCGGGACAGTTGCAGCCAATCCCCCCTCCAGAGCCTGCTTGGCAGCAGGTGACGATGGACTTCGTCACGGGGTTACCGGCCGGGCGAGTGGAAATAGACGCGATCCTGGTCGTCGTCGATCGACTAGACGAAAATGGCACACTTCGCAGCCTGCAAAAAATCAATCACAGCCGAAGAAACAGCCCGCCTCTTCATCTCTACCGTCGTTCGACTGCACGGGATACCAGCATCGATCATCAGCGACAGAGACACGAAATTCACCAGCAACTTCTGGCGGAACCTTGTGGCAGCAGTTCGGCACCGCGACTACAGTTTAGTTCATCGTACCACCCCGAAACAGACGGATAGACAGAACGGACAAATCAGACCATGGAACAGCTCATCTTGGGCCACGTGCGACGACCCAAGCACGTGGGAACAGCAACTGCCACTCATCGAATTCGCATACAACAACGCCCCATCCCGCCACGACCCAACAGTCACCGTTTTACCTGAATTACGGACAAAAACCCAACAGTACCCATGACCCCGAATCCCGACAACCCGGTTCCACGCGCGCAACAGTTCGCCGAAATATTACAAGCAGCACGGACCCGGGCAGTAGACGCAATAAAAAAATCGAACATCATCGCTAAACGCAACGCCGACCGCCACCGCAGACCCGTCACTTACCAGCCCGACGACTTAGTTTTACTCGACACTCAGAACCTCCGACTGCCCATCACTCCGAAACTCCGCCCCCGATACTGCGGGCCATTTCGCATAAGCCACATGCTTACACCCGTCACCGCCCACCTCCTCCTCCCTGCTGACTGGTACGTCAGCCCTCATTCCACGTCAGCCTACTTCGCCCTTACGTCCCGTCCACGAGCCAACTGCCACGCAATTCGCCCAGCCAGCATGACAAGACCCACCGACTGAACCAATCATCACCCCCGAGAAATCCTGAGTCACAGAGTTCGCGACCCTCGAGGAGCCCGAAGGATCGAGTTCTTACTCCGCTGGAAGGACGTACACCCACCGAAGACAATTGGGTTCCCCTGGACAGAATCGAAAACCACCCCGTTCCTCACCGAGTATCTGCGCATAGGCCGGAATTTCAGGGATGTACACGCACTTTCGTAGGGAGGACCTCCTTAAGGGGGGGGGTAGTGTAAGGAAAATTCCTTTTCCTTACTTCGCATCCCTGCTCAACGCGTACATCACTGTAGCACCACAGTCAGCACCGTTCACACTCGCAAACCCTCGCATCGACAATCTGCCACGCCACCTTCGCACATCGCACCCCGACCTCACGGCTCGGCGGGTAACCCGCGCTCCGGGCCTCCGCTTCGACACTTTTTCCCAACCTCAGTCCCAGGCCCGTCGCGCGACAACCACAGTCCATTACCGTTACCACTGTAGTTTCGCTATATATTCTTCGCTCATGCCTTCGCTCATTGTACTCTTGCTTCGATAGTGCAATTCTCGTGTCGTTCACTCAAATGCCACTCGTAACAGAAGTCGAATTTGCTCTCTGCCCTGCCGTGCTCTCCTCTGGTGTTTGTGTGTGTTGTACCTCAGTGGTTGTTATCGTTTTTGTGTCGGTTACGCTTGTTTCTACCCATATTCATCTCCTTCACTTTGGGCCGTCCATTCTATGCCACGTAGGAATCTAGTGCGGCTGGTTTGCTTTGTGGGCCACGAAAAACCTGCCTGGGAGCCTTCTCGAATCTCTTTCACCAGCTCATTCCAGCGTGGAAATGTGCAGACGCATCAGGTCACAGGCTTGTAAAGCTTTCGACTTCACTGTTGACAGCCTCCGAAGCGCTCGAGCTCCTGACCCCATGTGACGACAGGGGCCTTGCAATTTTAGGGAATGAAATTATCGGAGCCCAGGTGTAGAGCAAAAAAGTTCGGTTAATTTCACACACGAGTCGCAAAGCATGCAGCTGACATGGATAAAGTACATCGCACGATCTCAGGGAAATTTATCCAGCCAGTGCCACATCACACGTCAGGATTGCGTGGGGCTGGGGTTCACACCCAAAACAGAATCAGGGCGTGCTCAGTTTGTTTCGAAGAAGTTCATGTCGGCCTATGAAACGTTGACACTGTTTTGGAGGAATACGAAGTTCAAAATTTACAGCAAGCTCACACGATACGAAGTCAAATTTCCTAGTCCGAACCTCACCAAGAATAAGCCCCGAATATTTCAGAAGTTGTGGCTTCCATCTCAGCCTCACGAGTATAAATTGCGTCATTTCTGTGGGGGGGGGGTCTAGATGTTCAACCACACTTTGGCAGCTCGGCTTCCAAGAAAGTTGGGCTGAGGACCCCGAAGTGACACCGAGCCGCGGTGTGAAATTAAGGGTAGTGAAGATATCGGAGAACAGGTGTAAAACTTGTTTTGAGTTCTCTCAAGAACTCATGACGACACGGTCTGAAATTGCTTGGAAGTCCGAACCAAATTCTTAGGGCGCATTCCCGGCCTCGGGAATTCCGGTGTTCGGGTCTTCCGAAATTGTGGGATCCAATCGGAAAGTCCGTGTTTCGAGCTTTGAATTTTAAGATTGGATCCCACAATTTAGGAAGACCCAAACGCCCGGAAGACCCGAGGCCGGGAATGCGCCCTTAGGCCCTCGGAAGTCCCTGACTCCTGCACTCCTTCCACGACATTTTGAAAGATCATTGCGGAATTTCACACGCTGAAAGGAAGAGTGGTGGTGCTGACAGTGAGGTCGGAGATTACGGGGATTGGTATCGATTGAATCTGACCAATGAACTGCAGCGCGACACGTCAGAAAAACGCGCTTCGCAAGCCAACCACGTATTGGACGCTAGAGTCCCATACCGAGAATCACTGAAAGTAATGTACAATCTCGCAGGTGTCATACCGCCTAGTACCATAACTCCGTAACCCAGCATGAAATTCGTAGTAGAAACACCACAATCAATACATGTATTCAACCAAGTGGATTCTGGACACACCTGGACCAAACAATAATGGCCGAGCTAACAGAAAAAGAGTGGGGCAGCGTCGGCATGGAAGGGTGGGTGGTCGAGGGAGGTGTGCTTGAGATAAGAAACAAGGTAGAGAGAATAGGGGGGGAGTGATGAGAGAGAGACAAGTTGGGGAAGGGAGGGCGAAGGGGAAGTGGGTGGGAAGAGGGGGCTGAGAGAGGGATACATAGGAAGTACGTGGAGAATCAAAGCAACTGCGCCTGTTGAAAACTACACGGCGACATTGGCACATCGAGGCTGGTTGCTGACACTGCACAACCCCCAGCCCCTCCCCTCCCCCTCCCCCTTATCACTTTCACCCCCTACCCTTCCTACCCACATTAAAGAAGGTGCGAAGTATGGTATCATACAAGGTGGTGCGTGCAAGCACATTCCCAGCCTCTCGCGAAATATTTTCCAGCACCAGGCAAATCAAATGGATTTAGTGCAAATGAGTGCACCCTCAGCCTCTCTTGCGGGCTTTTTGGCGTCAGCCAGACAAATAAAATCAAATGGAGTTGGTGCGAATGAGTCCACTCTCAGCCTCGCGAGATCCCATGGCCAGCGACACTGACGCTGCTGCCACAGAAGACACTTCTGAAGCAGCTGAGAACACAGACAATGCAGCTTCTGCCGCAGCATGCATGCGAGAAAACTGACACCGAGTTCAAGTTTAAATTAAGGTGAGACGCCACACGAGGTGGTAGGCCTTGCGGAGGGGTGAATCCTTCCGCGCCCATTCCGCTCTCTCCTCCTCCCGAATCTTCTCCATCTCATCAAATCCTCCCCAACCTCTTCCAACCCCTACGCCCCCCTTCAAAGCTCCCCCTAACGCCCCCTCTGCTGCGGCTTGTTCCTGCTGCCGCAGGCAGCACTGGCGTCACGGAACAAAGCACCTGGAGGGAGAACGGTCCTATGGTTGACCTCAGCAGCGGCAGGTTCTTCTTCATACCTAGCAAATGAACAAACAGAGATGGAGGCACTTCGGAAGCCTCTGGGACGGGTGCGGTCCGGGACTTTGATCGAATCAACGGTTCTTGCAGCAGCACGCGAAGCATCAGTGGCGTTACCGTTGGATGCAGATAAATGGACAGCCTCTCCTCCTCCACACCGTTTCCCCCTGCCTCCCTCATCTTCTTCCCCGGTCTTCCCCTCAGCAATGGCAGCTGGAAAGCTAAGACTGCGGCCATCTTCCCCCAAATCAAGCATCTGTGCCTTTGCACTGCTTCCCTCCCTCCTCTCACTAACAGAGACTGTACTCACGCCACTCACACTGCTGCTCCCTTTCAACCTACTGCCACCGTCCCTACTGCCATTCGCAGATTCAATTTCTGTATTGCCGCTCACACTTCCACTGCAGCTACTGCTGCTGCTGATGCTAACACCCCTGCTAGTGCTGTCGCGTTCTCTGCTCTCCCTGCCCCCTCCTCCTCCTTCTCTGCTCTCCCTGCTCTCCCTTTCGTCCCTGCTCTCCCTGCTCTCTCTGCTCTCCTGGCTCCTGCTGCTGCTGCTGCTGCTGCCCTGTTTGTACGCGCTGAGCTGCTGCTGCCGGGCCTCTAGTGCCGCCACCACAGCGTTCTTCTGACGCTTGCGCTGCTTCAGAATGGTGGCCATGGACATAGTCCCCAGCCGGTCAAACGCCCTGGTGGAGTGGAGGGCAGAGAGAGAGAGGTGAGGCAGTAAAATGGGGGGTTAATAACACTGCCCATTGTGCTGCTTGAGAATGGTGGCCAAGGACATGGTTCCCAGCCGGTCAAACGCCACCTGCTGGAGAGGCAGAGGGAGAGAGGTGAGGCAGTAAAAGGGGTGGTTAAAAGCTCTGCCACTTGCATTGCTTGAGAAGGTGGCCATGGACATGGTTCCCAGCCGGTCAAACGCCACCTGGTGGAGGAGAGAGGAGGAAGGGAGGGGAAGGGGAAGGGAGGGAACAGTGACGGAGAAAGCGAAGGGGAGGGAGGTTTGCATTGATGTCTCTGCTTCAGAATGGTGGCCATGGGCATGGTTCCCACCCGGTCAAACGCCACCTGGTGGAGGGGCAGAGAGGGAGGAGGAGAGGCAGTAAAAGGGGGGGTTAAAAGCTCTGCCCATTGTGCTGCTTGAGAATGGTGGGCATGGCATGCACGGGATTCTCCCAGCCGGTAGAGGAGAGGAGGGAGGAGAGAGGTAGTAGAGGGGCATAATGAGAGTCGAGGAAGGTAGAAATAATACACGTATGTGTTTATGTCGCATGAGCTGCTTGAGCATGGCGGTGGGCATGGACATGGTGGACGGGATGTTTTGAGATGTCTCAAAACACTTTCTTATCACATGGGGTTTTTTAGACGTCTCAAAACGTTTCTGTCGCTTGAGGTGCTTGAAAATGGTGGGCATGGACATGGTGGACGAGAGGGACGGGAGGGACGGGGGATGGCTTGCGTTTGGGCAACTGTGTCAAGCTGTCACTGACTTGACAGAGAGACAGCTCGCAACTTCATTTTTCAAGGGCCTTGGAAGCTTTCTGAGGCGCTTAGGAATTTGTCTTATAGTTTTTGAGGCTCCTCAGAAAAAGACAGCCCTGTGGTTGGCAGGAACAGCCTGCAACCCATATAGTGGCCTTTCATGGAGTGCATCGCTGGCAGGAGACGTGACGAGATGAGGTGAGGTGAGGTGAGGTGTGGTGAGGTGAGGTGTGGTGAGGTGAGGTGTGGTGAGCTGGAATGAGATGGGATGAGACGAGATGAGATGAGATGACATGCAATGACATGGCAGGGTGAGTAAGAGGAAGACGAACACGCAGACTAGACATTACGAGGTAAGATGATACAACACGACACTCGCAGGAGATGAGAGGGAGGGGCGCCCGCAGAGCAGACACACCTGCAGCAGGAGAATGTCTAGGTCAGAGTGCCTGCTGCTGGATCGATTGAGAATTTCCACCATGCGATGACTTTTACGGCGACTCAAAAGTCACCTTGACACAACATTCACAGGAGAGGAGATGAGAGGGAGGTGCATGAGGATAAGGACGCACCTGCAGGAGAATGTCGGGGTCAAAGTGCCTGCTGCTGGACCGATTGAGTATTTCCACCACGTCGCCCAGGTGCTGTGCTGTCATGAGCTCTGCCTCGTTTATCTGACACGGGGGTGCAGGGGGAGAGAGAGAAGAGAGGGAAAGAGCGGGTGGAACGAGCACAAGGAAACGTTTTGAAGCTTTACTTTAGAGGCGTCACAAGTGCCGCTGCCCAGGTGCTGTGCTGTGCTGTCATGAGCTCTGCCTCGTTTATCTGACACCAAGCGTGGGGTGAAAGAGAGTGGGAGAGAGAGCTGGTGTAGTGCGCATAAGGGATGGCTGCATTCGCACAAGTTCTGAAGGAGGAAAAGTTGCAGGGGGGGGGAGTGGAGAGTTGGCGGGAGGGGAAAGGAAGGAGGTAAATCGGGGGAGTGTGTACCAAGGTGCATTAAACAAAATCAAAAGCTCATTCTTGCAAACAGCATGTAGTGAGGCGATTTCTGAGGCGCCTAAAAAATTGCCTCACTACACATGAGCTCATTGTTGCAATTCTGATGAAGGGTACCAGGAAAGCAGTGTGGGGTTGGTTGGCGGTCCGGCACGGGAGGGAGGAAAACGAAAGGCGGAACGGTACATGACGTGGGGGAGGAGGATAGGATAGAGTGGCACGTGGAAGGGAGAGAAGATGGCCTGCAGATTACCAGGGCGATTAGATTACCAGGGCGGAAGCAGGTTTGTTGAGGGAGCAGGTTACCTTGAATAGTGCAAGGGCGACTCTGAAGAGCACTTTGGCTCCCTCGTTGAAAAGCACATCCCACACCCGCAGCGTGGTCTGTTGCACGCACAGGGCACGTGTGATGTGATGCATGCAGGTGTATGTAATGCATGCAGGTGGGGATACATACATACATACATACATACATACATACATACATACATACATACATACATACATACATACATACATACATACATACATACATACATACATACATACATACATACATACATACATACATACATACATACATACATACATACATACATACATACATACATACATACATACATACATACATACATACATACATACATGTATATACATACATACATACACAGACACACAGACACCCACCCGCACATGCGCACATACACACACATGCACACACCAACACCCGCACAGACGCACACATGTAAAACGCATGCTCACAGAACATACACACAGACACATAAATACACACACAACCATACACTCATGCACACGACAACACACACTGACACGCACACCCAGACAAACATGCACGGACGTGTGTGCGTCCCGTTGTGAGAGGAAATAGAGGAGATTTGGACCTGATTCTTACGCGAAAGCTCGGACAAGGGGGCGGAAAACATGAGAGCAGCAGATAAGGCTTTTGAGACGCCCCAGAAGCCTGATTCAGGCGCGAAAGCTCGGAAGAAAAGCGGGGTGGGGACATGAGATTAGAGAGGGCAAGAGATTGAGCGATGCACCTCAGAGGGGAAGGTCTTGGCGAAGACACAGAGGAACCACTCGGTGGTGACGCGGGAGGGAGAGAGAGACTGAGAGGTTGGGGTTTCACAAGCCCAGGTAAGGAGGTGAGAGCGAAGCCGAGTGTTGGCAGAAGAGAAAGGTGCTTGCACTGCACACCCACGCACCTCAGAGGGGAAGGTCTTGGCGAAGACACAGAGGAACCACTCGGTGGTGACGAGTGAGAGCTCAAAGCCCACCTTGTCCAAGTGGCTAGCTAGCCTGGTCGAGGAGAGGGGGGGGTGGGGGAGAGGAGGGGGGAAGGGGGGGTGGATGAGTGGGTGGACCGTGGACGGGGAATTTTTTGCTGTTTCAAGAACCACTCAGTGGTGACGAGGGAGAGCTCAAAACCCACCTTGTTTAAGTGGCTAGCTAGCCTGGTAAATGAGAGGAGAGGAGGAGGGGGAGAGAGGGGGGAGGTGGGGAAGGGGGGAAAGGAGAAGACGGAAAAGGGGACAGGGAAGGAGGGGATGGGTGGGTGGATGGGGGTCAGATAAGATGGAGTGATGACAGAGAGACGAGTGTGCTTCGCATGACATGACGCAAGGAGAGGGGAGGCAAAAACTATGAATCGACAAAAGAAACGAATCTCAGACCTTGGGGTGACTG